GGCTCGCTGAGTTCACGGGCGCTGGATTTTCCTGCGGCCCTGGGCTATGAGCACAAGAGAGGTTCGGCCTTTCAGAGAGGTTCCCTGTGAAAAGGTCCAGAAGCGATCGATCCGGATCCGAAGGCCCAAAGGAAGCTCCCTTCAGTTTGGCGGGGTGGCCAACGTGTAAGTTAGTAGTTTGGGCATCCCTAGAATCTAAACCTGTAGTGACTATAGTGGGGTATGTCAAACATACCTTTACGCTCTAAACATGCGAGATGGACACCACCAGAAGCCCTGCGACCAAAGGCGTCTCTAAGACTACCTTCATTCAACCTCTGCCGTCCTTGACCGAGGTAACCAGCCAGCAGTGAAGTCCGGTCAGCTTCACATCCGTCCGAACAAAATCCGAAGGACACCGAACATGGAGCCACATCCTTTTTGTAAGTTGGGGAGTGCCATTTGAAAGAGCTCGATATTGAAGAAAACAACTTTCCACGCCCATCCAAAATGGGGAGGGGAACAACATTTGTAGAGGGGGTGGGCCAAAACGCCTTGTCTCTTCGGTGAATTACATCCAAGTTCTGCTCAAATCGCCTGCAAGGGGACTCCAGTGGCCACCTCCGAGGCGAAAGTAATTGACCTGACGCGGCGACGCGGAACGGTGCAGGGTCGCCGAATGCCAGGGCCCCGGTTGCTCAGGGCGCACGCCCGAAGGTTCTTTGGTGCTGGAAAAGCATATCGCCCATATAGGTTGCGCAACAAGTGCAGGTATGTGCTGCAGCCAGGGTCTGGAGCCATGAGGGGTTCACCTTCACCACGACAAGCTAGCTGAAGGGAAACCCCGGGTTGACAAACCCAATCGGTTGAACTCTAGGGTTATCCGGCCGTAAACGGTTGAGGCTCAGGGAGAAACACGTTGGCGACTGGCTCACTGCCCAATTCTGGGCCGCCCTGCGAGAATGCACATGGGCTCACCTGCAAGTTTGTGCGGTTGTGTTGGTGGCCCGAAAATGCCGCATGGTATATATCTACATATGTGTATTCATTAATTGACCATTCATTCCATTCATTCCATTCCATCCCATTCCATCCCATTCCATTCATTCCATTCATTCCATTCAATTCATTTCATGAATTACTTAATTAATCAATTCATTCATTCATTCATTCATTCATTCATTCATTCATTCATTCATTCATTCATTCATTCATTCATTCCATTTGATTCATTCATTCATTCATTCATTCATTCATTCATTCATTCATTCATTCATTCATTCATTCATTCATTCATTCATTCATTTCATTCATTCCATTCCATTCCATTCCATTCCATTCCATTCCATTCCATTCCATTCCATTCCATTCCTTCCATTCCATGCATTCCATTCATTCTTTTCGTTCCATTCGTTCATTCATTCCATTCGTTTCGTTCCATTCGCGCATTCATTCCATTCCTTAATTAATCAATTCACTCATTCATTCATTCATTCATTCATTCATTCATTCATTCATGCATTCATTCATTCATTCATTAAGTCATTCATTCATTCATTCATCCATTCCATTCCATTCCATTCCATTCCATTCCTTCCATTCCATGCATTCCATTGATTCTTTTCGTTCCATTCGTTCATTCATTCATTCATTCATTCATTCATTCATTCATTCATTCATTCATTCCATTCCATTCCATTCCATTCCATTCATTCATTCATTCATTCCATTCCATTCATTCCATTCATTCATTCATTCATTCATTCATTCATTCATTCATTCATTCATTCATTCATTCATTCATTCATTCATTCATTCATTTCATGTCATTTCGTTCATTCATTCATTCATTTCATTTCATTTCATTTCATTTCATTTCATTTCATTTCATTTCATTTCATTTCATTTCATTTCATTCATTCCCTTCCTTCCTTCCTTCCTTCCTTCCTTCCTTCCTTCCTTCCTTCCTTCCTTCCTTCCTTCCTTCCTTCCATTCCATGCATTCCATTCATTCTGTTCGTTCCATTCGTTCATTCATTCCATTCGTTTCGTTCCATTCGCGCATTCATTCCATTCTTTCATTCCATTAATTCCATTTGTTCCATTCGTTCCATCCATTGCATCCATGCATCCATCCATTCATTTGTGCGTTCGCTCGTTCGTTCGTTCGTTCGTTCGTTTATTCATTCGTTCATTCATTCATTCAGTCACTCATTCCATTCCATTCTATTCCATTCCTTCATTTCATTTCCTTTCATTTCCTTTCATTTCCTTTCATTTCATTTCATTCATTCATTTCATTCATTCATGCCTGCATTCATTATTCATTTCATTCATTGATTATTTCGTTCTTTCGTTCGTTCATTTCATCCATCCGTCCGTCCGTCCGTCCGTCCATCCATCCATCCATCCACGCATGCATGCATGCATACATGCATGCAGTATCCATCCATCCAGCTCTGCATCTGCTTTCGTGCTTGCTCCACGTGCCCTCTGCAATGTCTGTGTGCTATTTTTCTTGGCTGTGTGGGAAGGCTGGCAATTCCACCGGAAGAACCCGTTGCAATGCCCTCGGGAAACACATTCTTAAGCGACTGGCAAACATCTTTCTTTTTGTGACAAGGCAACCTCCGAAACTCAAGGGTTTGTTCAGGTTGCTGAGCTTTGGCTGTGTAGAAAACCCGCCTGCACCAAACACGCTTGAAGCAACTGCTCCGATTGATATGAACATGACACCCGCAAGCCAACCATTTTAGAAGCTCTCCTTCTGGGGGAGCCCCAGAATTTCCGGCGAGTCAATCTGATGTGGCATATCCTCAGCCTCCAAAATTTCATCCTCCAAAACTTCAGCGAGTTCCACTGCCTATCTCGGATTGAACCCTCCCAGCTGAAGAAGGCCCACTCAGCCGACGCCTCCATGAAAGGCATCGCTAAGGTCTCGCTGCAACAGAGTGGCGATCAACGCCTACCAGCTCACGTGCCCAAAAATTGGACCTGGAAGTAAAGGGCGAACCTTTTGGGACCCCTACTAAAAATGGACCAAAAAGGGATGACAAAAAGGTCAAAAGGTTGGGAGCCCTACTAAAAATGGACAAAAAAAAGGGATAGATTAGCTTTAAACAACTGAGGCGGAGGTGCTTGGGTTCCTTGCTTGGACGTTCCTTGCCCGAGGCCCGAAAACTGGTGGGTGTTTTTTTTTCTTGGCTTGCTGTGGTCACAGCTGGCCCCGTATTTTAGGACACCCTCACGTGTAAAGACTTCACTGTTCTTAGAATGATTCTCAATTGATCTTGATTTGTTTAGCATTCTATGCTTTGGGGAACAATCACATGCTTGTTTGCGCACGTACCAGGCGTTTGGGAAGCAAGCACAACGCAGTACAGCTTTGGGAACTGCCCCCTTTTTGAGGGGTGCTCCTTGATGAAGAAACGGCTTGGCTTCTGTTAGTTTCCCAACGGCAGGGTTGCCATTGTCCTACCCTTGTGTCTTTGGAGTCTGAGCTTCCTTCCGTGAATTTGAAGGAAATGGTCCTTGCTCAAATTCCTGCATGTTCGCACAGCTCGTGAGCCCACCGAACACTGTGAAACGAGCAACTCCGGAGCCTAAAATGGATCTCCTTGATTGGGGACTCCTTTGATTTATTCTTCTTATCTCAAGGTTCACTCTGCACCAAAATCCAGAATGTATGATTTTTGGTCGGGGGGACAAAAGCTGTGGTACATGTCTGATGATCCTTCAACCTATCTTTGGAAGTAAACAAGTGCCCAAATTCTTGCGAGCTTAAAGCTCCTTGCCTTGGTCCTTACAGTACGCGCACGCACGTAAAATGCAAGCTTCAAGCACACACCCACACCCAAGAAGGGCCCAAGTTGCTTTCACGGCACCGGAGATCGCATACGCGACTTGATCTTTCAGGGATTTACGCCGACAGTGCTCAGAGGGTCTACTTGTGGCTCCAAAATCCTCGGGCCCCATGCAAAAGCCTGCCATATTCTGCGCAGGCCCCATCTGCCTACGTTTCTATTTCAGAACACCCTGTCGTATGTGTCAAAACACAGGGGGAACTCAACAAATGGTGGTTTTCTGTTGGTTCTCCTTAAAACCCAACATTGGACACCCCTCCGGAAAAAGAAAACACACACACACACAACCGACCGCCCCGCCTCGTCAAAGGAGCTTCTCTCGACGATGTCCAACCTGGACCGCAACAAAACGCAGAATGCTTTTGAGTACGCCCCATATATATATATATATATATATATGTGGCAGGGACCTTTCTAACACATTTGCCGGGTATGATCCTGCGCATATTCTACATTATTATATAAGGTACTGAATACATTTTCTATACACATATATTATGATTATCCAAAAAATACATATCTTTTCAAACTATGCCAATCCTTACTACGCCCATATTCCAGAACATATAATAAGTTTTAAAATAATCTAATAATTATTTAATGAATGAATATTATGTATTAAACTAGAACTTAATTAAGAAATGCTGCTACGATAAATGCCGTTTACAAATGATGTTTAAGGTCACTGTATTATACGTATGCTTCATTCTTACATTCTTGGTATTGTTTATAGTTTCATCATAGTTGTATATTCATTCATACATTATTCTTATACTCATATCATCACCTATTCGATATTTATACTTAACGTATTACATTTAGAACCTGAAATAGATATCATTTCGTTCATAGCACTATTCATAACATCTCGGTTTTATATTGTGTGTAAGATTCTAAAACTCAACCTATAACTGTTTCTAAATGTTAAAAACATCAAGCTTCTTAAAACTACAACAAAAACCATTAAGTCAGAAACACTAGTACATTGCATAATGAAATATTCTTGTACAGCTTTTCAAGAACTGCCACTGCTACTACTACTACTGCTACGATGACTACTATTACTACAACTACAAGTACAACTACTACTACTACTACTACTACTACTACTACTACTACTACTACTACTACTATTGTTATAACTAGCATTATTACTATTACTAATAGAATTGCTTTACAATTATTAATGAATAACGTCATCGTATATATTCTAAAAAACAATTTCTGCGCTGATTTAATCATATTTTTCATTATTATAATCTCTACTTTCTACTACTTAATGTGCGTTCTATCATTACTACTACTAATTCTATTGTTTGTTATTTCAATGTACTTCATGGTCGTCTTTTCCTACTGCTTTTTATTCATCATTTTGTTTGTTGTTCTTCTTGCGTTTCTTTTCACACAGCCTTTTCTTCCTTATCTTATCTTCCTTTTCAATCCAAATTAACTCCTATTACCAATACTATGTGTAATATGATTATTCTTGTTAAATTCATACCACTCATCACCATCCATACAACTAGTATTAGTATTTGTTGTGTGCGTATATCACTACACTTTTTGCACCTTCAATTTCTCATTTATTCTATATACTTATTTTTCAACATATTCAATTTATTAGTTTATGTAAAATATCAATATTTTATTATGCTCAAAAACGTTAAAATCAACTAACAATAACATTCATATCAACTATGCCAACCCTTTCAATTTGCATTATGTATTTCAATTAATCCCACTACTTTACATTTACATTCAACAGAACATTAATGTTCATATTTTGTTAAGTTAACTATACTTCGAACTTTCTTCGATTATTTTCTATCTTTTGAGCAATTCTTACAGTTCTTTCATTTATTTACTACTACTACTACTACTACTACTACTACTACTACTACTATTGTTATAACTAACATTATTACTATTACTAATAGAATTGCTTTACAATTATTAATGAATAACGTCATATTATATATTCTAATATACAATTTCTGCGAGTGTTTAATTATATTTTCATTATTATAATCTCTACTTTCTACTACTTAATTGGCGTTCTATCATTACTACTACTAATTCTATTGTTTGTCATTTCAATTTAATTCATGGTCGTCTTTTCCTACTGCTTTTTATTCATCATTTTGTTTGTTGTTCTTCTTGCGCTTCTTTTCACACAGCCTTTTCTTCCTTATCTTATCTTCCTTTTCAATCCAAATTAACTCCTATTACCAATACTATGTGTAATATGATTATTCTTGTTAAATTCATACCACTCATCACCATCCATACAACTAGTATTAGTATTTGTTATGTGCGTATACCTATATACTTATTTTTCAACATATTCAATTTATTACTTTATGTAAAATATCAATATTTTATTATGCTCAAAAACGTTAAAATCAACTAACAATAACATTCATATCAACTATGCCAACCCTTTCAATTTGCATTATGTATTTCAATTAATCCCAATACTTTACATTTACATTCAACAGGACATTAATGTTTATATTTTTCTTAAGTTAACTATACTTTATACTTTCTTCTAGTATTTTCTATTTTTTGAGCAATTCTTACAGTTCTTTCATTTATATACTACTACTACTACTACTACTAGTACTACCACCACTACTACTACTACCACCACTACTACTACTTCTAGAACTTCTATGAATACTATTATCATTATCGCTACCACCACTAGTACTACCACTACCACCACTGTTACCGTTAATCTTACTACTATTACCTTAAAAACTAAGAATACCGTCTTCATGTAAACTCTTGTATCATTCTTAACTTAACTATACATGACTATAGTCATGAAATTATAAATTACGACTTCATTTTTAAATTATGTCCATCAGCTACAATGTCCTTTTTTACTGCTACTATTAAGACTGTTACTGCTACTACTAATACTAATACTACTACTACTACTCCTACTACTACTACTACTACTACTCCTACTACTACTACTACTATTACCACTACTACGACTACGACTACTACTACTACTACTACTACTACTAAACTTAGTATTACTATAACTAAAACAACAACTGCTACTATTATGAATATCGCAGTTTTTGCTAATTAATTACGTAACTCCAACAATCAATTTGTTCGTTCGTTGATTCAGTCAATCAATCAATCAATCAATCAATCAATCAATCAATCAATCAATCAATCAATCAATCAATCAATCAAACAAGCAAGCAATCAATCAATCAAATCAATCAATCGACCAATCAATCAATCAATCAATCAATCAATCGATCAATCATGCAACCAATCAATCAATCAATCAATCAATCAATCAATCAATCAATCAATCAATCAATCAATCAATCAATCATGCAACCAATCAATCAGTCAATCAATCAAGCAATCAATCAACCAAATCAATCAATCAAATCAATCAATCAATCAATCAAATCAGTCAATTTTTCCGATCAATCAATCAATCAATCAATCAACCAATCAATCAGTCAATCAATCAGTCAGTTCAATTCATTCCTTCATTCCTTCCTTCCTTCCTTCCATTCATGAATTCGATCATTCATTTCATTCATTCATGGTCATTCATTCCATTTCATTTCATTTCATTTCATTTTCATTCACTCATTCATTCATTCATTCATTTCATTTCATTTCATTTCATTTCATTTCATTTCATTCATTCATTTCATTGTTTCATTCATTCATTCATTCATTCATTCATTCATTGATTGATTCATTCATTCATTCATTCATTCATTCATTCATTCATTCATCCAGCAATCCAATCATGAGCTGACACAAACCAAAACGAGGCATGAGATGAGGCCTTGCAAGGAGGGGCGGATGGCTGGGTGGAGCAACCTGGTCTTGCGGCCCTCCCGCCAACGCTGGCAACCCTCCGGTAGCGGCATTGGGCCGACTCCGATTGGAGGTCAACGCGATGGCACCCGTCGTCCTACTCCCGCCAACACTGGCGCTGGCAACCCTCTAGCGGCATTGGGCTGACTCCGGTTGGAGTTCAACACGACGGCACCCTTTGTCCTACTCCCGCCAACGCTGGCGCTGGCAACCCTCTGCTAGCGGCATTGGGCTGACTCCGGTTGGAGTTCAACACGACGGCGCCCTTCGTCCTGAGGCGGTGGGCTAAAAGAGCGATCACCCTCCCGCCAACGCTGGCAACCCTCCGCTAGCGCCATTGGGCCGACTCCGATTGGAGTTCAACGCGACGGCACCCGTCGTCCTACTCCCGCCAACACTGGCGCTGGCAACCCTCCAGCGGCATTGGGCTGACTCCGGTTGGAGTTCAACACGGCGGCACCCTTTGTTCTACTCCCACCAACGCTGGCGCTGGCAACCCTCTGCTAGCGGCATTGGGCTGACTCCGGTTGGAGTTCAACACGACGGCACTTCGTCCTGAGGCGGTGGGCTAAAAGAGCGATCACCCTCCCGCCAACGCTGGCAACCCTCCGCTAGCGGCGTTGGGCTGACTTCAACACAAACGGCACCCTTTTTCCTGAGGTGGCAAGCTAAGACAGCGATGTACCTTAGTCAGGCCCGCCGCTCGCGCCAGGATTGCCCAAGGCGAGCTGCAGAGCTGCCCTACTCGCTCTGGATTACTCGACACGGCAATTACCGGTTGACGTGATTTGCCAGCGGCTTCGGGTGCGACGAATAAAAATTAAGAACAAGAAGATGCGACGCAAGCAAGTACGCATGGATGGCTAGGATTAAGAGCAAAGGGGGGTGGGGAATCTTGAGCGACGTTGCGGCGTTGGCGCGCCATGTTTGGCTGTAAGTAGATTCTGTTTGATTGGCCTCCAGACTCGAGAAACAGCGCTGCTCATGTCTTCTTTTGGCGCGAGGGCTATGTATGTCTAGCCAAGAAGGTGAAACACGGCCATATGGGCTGCATGCTCATGCTCTTCCCCTGCACCATTCGGCGCAAAATGTTGGCCAAAAGACCTTGTAACAAGCCCCAGCCTTCCGAATGGTCCTGAATAGAAACCTAATGTTCATACCATGGTCAGTTGCGACAAAGTCTGTCGAGACTGTGGAAAGCCAAAGTGAACGCAATGTTGAAGGCGGAAGCCTGATATGTAAGCCCGGGAGCAACACAGAAATTGGCTGAAAGTTGGTGAGACCTAATGCTGCAAAAAGGTGCTTGGCAACCTGGCCTCATGGCCGCAGAGAAAAGAATAAATTGCGCTCAAAAGGCTTTTGGACGTGCGTTGATTCCAAGAAGAACTGCGTTGCCCGACACTGCGTGGTGAATCTGTTGATGATGTAGGAAAGAACACGAGAGTAATGGGCAGCGCAGGGAGTCGCAAG